AGATGATCTCTGCTCCATTTGTCACCTTATTGGCAGCAATGGTAGTAAGAGCATAGAGATGTAGTATCTAATTTTGCTAATGTAACTAGGGAGAGTTGATGGAGAGGGAAAGGATGGCTCCACCTCACAGGTCTTGGTAAAAAGGTTAAACCTTCAATTTGTTTACAGCTTTTTGAAGGGAGGTAGTGGAATGAGTGTTATAGTTCAGTGAATATTTGAACCATTAGCGTAACTAAAAGATTGGGCATTCTACTCTGTTAGTGCTATGGTAATTTGTACAAATGTCATACAAACCTTACCTCTGTTACAAGATCTGATTTTACTCTTACTTCTTAAGAGACGACTGAAATGTAAAACTGATTTATTCCACTGACTTTCAACAAAACTTCTTCACACAGACTTCTGGTAGGCTAAAGTAGAGAGAGTGAGAGGAGGAATGGAAAAACAACAAACTCTGAGTTCAGTATTCAGAAGCTAGTATCCCAGAGTTCACCCTGATAATTAACAATTAATGTGAATCTAAAACTCAAAGAAGGCAGCTAGAAACAAGTCAATGGGGGTGGACTTGGACTTACAGTATATGAAGAAAATTGTGAATACTTGTACTGCAACAAATGTACTGCAGCCTAGTTGTTAGGCACTTGATAGTACACCTCTACCCCGATATAGCGCGACCCGATATAACACAAACTCGGATATAACGCGGTAAAGCAGTACTCTGGGGGGGGCGGGACTGCACACTCTGGTGGATCAAAGCAAGTTTGATATAACGCGGTAAGATTTTTTTGGCTCCGGAGGACAGAGTTAATTGAGGTAGAGGTGTATTTGTATTACAGTAGTGACTAGATGACCCAACTGAAAGTGGGCTGCTTGGTGCCTTATATCCACAGCATGAGAATGCCTGCCTACAGGGATTTATTAACTTAAATAGACCAGATCGGAGACAGTGTTATCCCCATTTACATAAGGGAAACTGAGGCACGGTGACTTGCCCAAGGTTGCAAAGGAAGTCTGTGGCAAAGATGGGAATTGAATTCAGATCTCATGAATCCCAGTCTATCATCATAACATCCTTTCTCTATTTGCACCAGCCTGAAGGTTGGATAACAAAAGCCTACTGCCCTTGAGTATGGTATGAATGGAGCTGCCCACTACCAGCCTGAAGAAAGTATTTCTGGATTACAGAATAGATAGGAAGTGGCAAATTATTCTGTGACCTGACCTCGCTAGAAAACTTTTTAAAAAGCGACAAAGAGTCCTGTGGCACCTCATAGACTAACAGATGTATTGGAGCATAAGCTTTCATGGGTGAATACCCACTTCGTCAGCGAAGTGGGTATTCACCCATGAAAGCTTATGCTCCAATACGTCTGTTAGTCTATAAGGTGCCACAGGACTCTTTGTCGCTTTTTACAGATCTAGATTAACGCGGCTACCTCTCTGATACTTTTTAAACAGACACTCTCCTAGAGATTTCAGTTGCAGATTCCCTTGGAGAATCCACATGAGAAATTACACAGTTAAAATTAGGAGTGGTGATATAAAGACAATTATTTGAGCTTGGATAAAAGGCACTGAGTAAAACTTAAATTCCTACCACATTATCTAGTCCTTCAATGTGAAGAGTAATGTTCTTTGCATTCTTGTTGGAACTGTTAAGGAAAAGTTGTGCTTTGAACTTTTAATTGGATACTTCTGGAGTATCTGTTTGGCTGATACGAGGAGTATTCAGCGCATTTGTATTTCTCTTGCTAGAAGTTGAAAACAATCATTGGGATCACATCTACAGGAAAAGTAGTAAGAATTATCTAGTTTCTTTTCTACTAGAGCCTTTTTGTTGCTACAGGCAAGTCGCATCTTAGGCGCATTTAACATGCGCGAATTCAGCTTTGCGCGGTCAGCAAAAACGGGGGGGGGGGAAGAGAAAAACAACAACATAACAACATAAAAACTGCACCTGTAGTGCGGGCGATTCTGCCTGCCATTGAACTCAATGAATGTTTCACTCATTTATTACAGATCAGATGACTCAGCTCATGAATTCAATACTTTGAAGATTAAAAATAATGAAATAGCTAATCTTATATACAAAGATGCTGAGATGCGTTGCCCACTTTCCAGAAGTGTTTAAATTCTAATGCTTGATAAGTCCATCCACATTTAACATCCAGGCCCTTTTCCTAGCCATATCCTCACTAATACAACTTTACCCCTTCCCCATCCTAACTCTAACTTATTCCTTAACATAAGAACCTTGATGTTCATTTCCTTTTAACTACTTAAAGTTTTCATTCACAAATTGAAACTGGAGCCTAGTGTATTTCTATTTCAAGTATTAAAACTTATGCTTTGTTCTTTAAAATACATGAGTGAGTTTAAAATGCTAGAACTTGAAAAAATGCCATGGATTTTATTTTTTGTGTGTGTTAATCCTGGTCATAGCTCAGAAGTTGCAAACTCAGACTTATTACCTTTTCTTCAAGTTCTCCAACCTTTCAGTCATGCCACAGTTGTTTGTCATACAGTAGAATCCCGTATTAAGAACACCTTGGGAATGGAAGTTGTTCATAACTGAAATGTTTGTAACTCTGAACAAAACATTATGGTTCTTTCAAAAGTTTACAACTGAAAATTGACTTAATACAGCGTTGAAACTTTACTATGCAGAAGTAAAGTTATACTTTTCCTTTTTTTTTTTTTTACTTAGTTTACATTTAACAGTACTGTTGCCTTTTGGGGGGGAGGGGAGGGGAAGAAGAGGAGAGGGTCTCTGCTGTTGCCTGATTGTGTACTTCCAATTCCAACCAGGTGTGTGTGGTTGACTGGTCAGTTGTAACTCATGTTCATAACTATGTAATTACATAATTGGAAGAACATTCTGAAAGAAAATGAAGTGCCTGCAAAAGTGATGGAAAATATTTTGAATACTAACAATTTGCAAACAAAGGTTTTTACTTAAGTGTGGACAATGTAGAATTTCTTTATAGCGTAAAATGTGAAATTCAGCTTGTTACAGGAGTCAGATTGGAGAAATAAAGTTCTGGTGCTTTGACTAACTAACCAATAACACTTATGCAGCAGGGTGACATTTGTTTAATAGTAATTTACTAAATTAACGGTCCATGCAAGAGGTTAAGTGATGCAAGAATGACTGAGTGGGAAGGTTCCATGCTGTCACTGATAGAGAAATTTCTGGACCTTATGGGTGTCGCCTTTCTCCAGTCATTCATGCTAGCATATAACAAGTAAGCATCTGATGATGTGCAGAAGAAAGAGACCTGCCTTATCCAGACCCAAGTTTAAATGACAGGCGGGCAGAACCACTGACCTAATGAATACTGCAAGAGGTAGTGCATGAGAAAATGGCTTCAAAATCAGCTCCAGGAAATAGTGGTTGATTTCTTCCATATACAAATAGAGGTGAAAGATTATAAAATGAGGAAAAAAAGATGATGAGAATGAAGCATATAAGCACAATGTGCAACTACCTACAGTTGCTGTCTTTCAGAAGTATAAGTTCCTTATTACATCCTGTTAGAACACCAGATCAAAACAAACGTTACAAAATTGAAGCCTCCCTGCTGAGCTAAATACCAGAAGATTTTAAAAAGACAATTTATGTACTAGTGACAAGAATATTTCCTCTCTCATCCAAGATCTTCGTTATGCATCACAAATTAAAGGGGATTAATCCTGTCTAAGAAAACAAAGTGTTACATGGCCTTGTAAATCACTAAGAAAGCTGAGAAGTTCTCAAACAAGGAATTCTTCCTATACGACCTTCCACATCTTCTCAAAGCCATAAATAGAAAAGTGTTTCTAGGTTATACTCTCCAAGTGACATTGATGGCAGCAGTTGCTATGCATTGCTCCCATCAGGGCACATAGTTGGAAGCAGAAAGGCAGTACGGTAAGGAACTGAATGAGCATTGAAAGGACTGCACTAGGAATTAAGAATATTTTCACAAAGTAGTACACAAGTTACATGCAGCAGTACCATTAATGAGGCACACAATCTCAAACATTCTTCCTAGCAAAAGCATACTGTCTTCATCAGAAACTAACATCTGTTAGGCCGGTTTTAATTATCTGTGGATTATATGTTTTAGTGAATAGCTGACTTTTTTTTTAAAAAGTGACATGTCAGGAACCGGGGCATCTAACTATACAAAAGAAACGCGAAACTTCTATACGCGGAGTGCCAGGAAATGCACAAAGCAAACTACATAAGTTATGCATTTAAATGCCAGCTCCAGTAATGTGACTTGTAACTGGCAGGCAAAGACATTCTAGAGGGACTGGATTAAGTTCCCGCTCCCCTTTTAATACAGGGAGGTGGGCCGAAAGTGGCTCACACACGCACGTGCCAGGTTCCTGACTTTGGGCTTGACAACTCCACCTCCCCTAGCAGCGCCATTACCGCTCCATAGCCCCGAGGGCAGCGCGGCACAGCGGGCAGCCGCTCCCGGACACTGTCCCGCGGCGAACAGCGGCTGCCAGGGCAGGCTCGCTGAGCGCGGCAGCACACGGCAGCGGGACCCGCTTCCCTCTCAGAGGAAGAACGTACCGGCCTCGGCCGATGCAGGAGCCCGCCCCAGCCTCTGCGAGCGGAACACCCCCCGCGCGCTTTCCTATTGGTTCAGCATTCGAATCCTCGCTTTCTGCCACGCCCCTAGCCCTTGGTGGGTCGATTTGTGCGTCACGCCCCCATCCGCTTTACCCAATGGGCCGTGCGAGGCGCTAGTTTTGATTTGATTTTGCAGTGGCCTAGCGCCGGGGTGAGGAAGGGGCGGGGGCTCCGGGAAGGACCTCGTGAGGCCTGGAGGAGCGCGAGCCTGAGTAAGAGGGGCGGGGGCCGCACACGTCGCGTCACGCGCCTAGCGTCAGTCCCCTCCGCGGGCGAGCGCTGTAACCGTTGAAGGGGACGTGGTGGCGGCGGCGGCGCTGGGGGAAGGCGGGACGCGTCACGCTGGGTTGGGGGTGATTTAGGGTCTGTTCTTTGCGGGGTCCCTGGGCTAGGGCCGATGGGCGGGGCTGCGTGACGTGTCGGCCTTGGGCGCCCCGGCGGCCTCGCTGCTCCCGCTCTGGAGCGGGGCCGGGTTCGTTCGTGTAGGGGGCAGCGGCCCCGTCCTAGTGGCCGCCCTGTCTCCCCCCCCCCCTCCCCGGACCTCTCTCGGGGCTCGGCTGGGCGGACCCGGCGATCCCACCGAGCTGGGCCGCAAGCGCCTTGTAGCCCGTTCTGACACCGGGCCGTTCCCCCCGCCTGGCCCGGGGACCGGCCCGTCGGAGTCGGTGGGGCTCCCAGCGCGACCTGAAAGCCCAGGGGCGGAGGCCCTCGTCTGGCGGAGCTGTCGTGTTGTCAGTTGGGATTTATTGGGGCACCTCGTTCACAACGCCTCCGTACAGAATAAAGTCTAGTCCTCGGGCGGCTCAGTGAGAGCGTCCTGTTCTTCGCCAGCAAACAAACGGGGGGGGCTTTTATGAATTCAGTAAAAGTAACCACATTTCACAGAACTTCCGAGTAGCTTTTCCATTACCAATATTTCCCATTTCTTTAAAAAGGAAATCATTGATAAATTATTGGAAGAGAGAGGCCCTCCAATTGCATCTAAAACAATGGACTGTTCTTTATTTTTCAAATATTGCTGATTTTAAAACAAGATCGAGGACTAAGATCAGTGGGTCTCAAGTGAGTTCAGTATATTTAGGGGTCTAGCATTTGATGTTCTGGTTTCTCAGCTACCTTGGGGCTTGAAGCTGTTCTCACTGTGGTCAATGGCGATAGAAGTAAACCCTTAGTGTGTGGAGAAGTCTGAGCAGGAGTTTGTCTTGAAGCGATGCTCTCTTCTATTTCTAAGGTGCCACAAGTACTCCTGTTCTCTTCTATTTGCAGCTGTAGAAAGGGTATCTGGAACTCTTCCGGGATGTATATGAAACTAATGTTTATAACCAACTTTTGAATTCTCAGACTGCTCTGTAAATGGCTCTACTGCTGAATCTCATAAGGCAACTGCTAGAATACTTTGGTGTACCAGCTGATCAGGTAAACTGATATTACTAGTGATGATCCATTGGTTTGCTGCTCAAGTTCATGGTTGTCTGGTAAGCATGAGTGAGGATAGGTGAGTGCATGTGTTGTGTTAAGAGATTTCTGTTGGTGTGTGCCGGTGGTGAATGAGGAATGTGTGCTGCAGTAAGGGGTGATATGTTCTTGGGGTTATTGCATAATTTATACATGTACCAGTAACCCTACGTGTACATTTAATTATAGTGGTATAATTATTCTGGTAAACTTCCTTCTGTAGACAAGCCATAAGGCCCATCTGATGATTTTACTTGTCTGTTACATTTTGCCTTCATATATTAACTGGTGTGTAAAGACTTCCGAATAGCAATTAATTCCATATTTTATAGACCCTGATCATAGGAGGTGCTGTGCACATACAGTTCCTATGGATTTCAATAGAAATTACAGGGACTCACCATTTTTGGATCAGGACCATAATGCTGAGAAAACCTAATGTGTCAGACTGTTATGCAACTCTTTTTGGTGTGTATTACACTGAAAATGTCCAGCACTAATCATAGCGCCACAAGTTTTAATCTCAAAGAATTTGTTTGCTCAGCATTTCTCAGATCTATGTGCAAACTTAAATAATGTGGTAGTAAAAATGCCACCACCTGTTCTACACCACTGTTGCTACTGGTGGAACTGCACTAGTGCTAGACCAACTGTAGGAAAAGTGCTAGTGTAGACAAGGTTACACTGACTAACTTTTGTTTTGTTTTTTGTTTAAAGTTCTCTGGTTTGACAGTAGCTTTTTCTTTTGGCAGTTCATACCAAGGTGGGAAGCTCATATAGACAATAGCAGCATTGGCCGTATGATTGAAACATGTCTTTTTTCAACCCCCTTCTCAAGAAGGCACTTTCAGCAGGTATATGCTATCATAAGGAAATGTCAGGTGAAAGTATCTTAAACTTTTTTTATGATTTCCCCACCCATTTTTGCTAGCAGTGGTTTGTGTATCCAGATACAGGCTATATTGACTCATTCGTTCTGGGTCATCCTTTGTTCTCCAACAGACCTTCTAGATACCCTCCTGTCTAGGAGGTGTAGTTAGTTTCACCCCCTATTGGTTTTCATGTAGAATGTCCTGGCACATCATCACATACATCCCAGAAACTTGAAAACTGGTCCAGGAAGAGAGATGCTCCTGAGGCCATTTCTGAACCCTTGCTCCCTTAGGATAGCAAACATTTTTGTAGACCACTCTAAGTATGTAATGGTCAGATCACATATGGTACGATCTCTTAATGATTTTGAAAAATATAAATGTTTGTACCATTGAGTTAAAAACCCATATTTCTTTTGTTTAACTTTTAGATTATATCAGTTTGGCAAAGTAAGGAATATGGATCTACGCGAAGCATTGTTCGTAGACTTGGGACAGTTCTTTCTTTAGAACCTTGTCCAAGACCTCACTTTCAGGTGAGTGGGTTATTGCTACTCTTAATATTTAATTATTTAAGCAAGAAGTCTCACATTAAATTTAACAATGGCTTTCCTAATCTTTTTATCTTTCATCACTATGGTATACTACATCTTTTCTGTTCAATGACTTTCACTTATCTAATACTGAGTCCCTCTTATTTGAGGAAGTTTTATTGTTAAACCCAAATTCTTTACTTTGCAGAGGCCTGACTTCTTCTTTTTTTTTTTTAGATGGTCCAAGACCTGAATTCTTTGGATTATGACGAACGAAGTACAACTCCAAATCCTGTAGTTCCATCTCTTGGTGATATTCTGAGGGTGGTAAATGATGAGGGAGAATCTTTTGCTAGATTTAGGCAAGTAAAGGCTCTGTGCTTATTTTGGTAGGAATGACTCAGATCCTGTAGCCTGTGATACTGGCAATTGTCTAAACCTTTCTGGGCCCTAGCAAAATTGACACTTTAGAAGTTAGCTCTTTCTCTTGATTCCCCCCCCCCCCCCCCCCCACGGAATTCTTGCCTACCCTTTAGCTAGCATTATATAGCATACACATAGATTTGGAGGATTGTGGGGTGAACATTGATGGAATCTAATCCTAACACTCCATGAGATTATCACCTCTAACCTCTTATTTTTGGGTAATGAACACTATCCCCTTTTCCCAGATGAGAACACTGGGACAGAAATAATAAAGGGTCCCTGTTAACTCAAAATCAATTTTGTTAATTTTTTTACCCATTGCTGTTACTAGCAAACCTTTTGAGATTACGATAACTGAAAGAAAAGTTTTAAGTATTTTAAGTTTGTTTGCCTTGTGTATAGGCTGTTTCACCATTTCTTCTTTCATTTAATTTTTTCTGCTTTCATGCAGTCCAAAAGGAAAATAAATTACATTTTCCTATTTTAGTAATTGTAAAGCAACAAATATTGTTGCGAAACTTGGACAGGCATAGCACATGAAGTTTAACTTTAAAATAATTAATAGACACAAAATTGACTGTGTCCCTTTTAAATGACTTTTACCCAAGGTCACAGAGGAAGTGGATATTTCAGAGCTAGAACTTAGTTGTTTATGCTGCTTAGTGTGCTCAGACGACTAACCCACAGCTCAATTAACATTTGGTATTTTTATTGGATATTGCAAATCTAGTTTTTATATTGCATGGGTTTGTCGTCTTCTGATCTTGTTGTTTGTTGCTGTGAAACTACAAGAAGAAGTAGGGAGATCTGAATTGGCTGGTATGTTTTGCTTTTTTGGGGGGTTAGAAGGAATATTGGAGTTCTAATGTCTCTTCTTACCACAATACTTAAGCTGTTAATGATGTCACGTTGCCTCTGTACTACAAAAACTGAGAGAATTGCACAAATCATAGAAAAAGAGAATAATTTTTATGATCTGGCAATTTAGTTATTAGAAATGGCTCAGTAGGTGATCATGAGACTTTCTCGGACAGCTACACACAGAGCTATATATGCTATACAGTAAATGGGACCTAGTTGCCAAAGAAAAGAGGAGTTTGTAGCCAGCTTTAGTGGTTTATCTCCCCAGTTTCTTGGGTCTTGACTGTGTTATTCTCCAGGCTGCCTCATTAATCAGCCTACTCGTATAGTTTCCCCATTCTAACTGCTCTAGGTCCATGGAATACTTGAAGGGAGCATGCATTGTAATCCAAATTAACTTCTTGTTGGGTAATCTGGAGAGCAAGAGAAAACTGCAGGTAGATCCTGGTAGGGCAGGGAGACAGAAGGCAAAATGTTACATGCCTGCCTAAAGTGAAATGATGAATTCCATGACATCTTGGGAAAAATGCCAGATTCCTTGGCTGGAAAACCCACTGGGCCCTGATTGAGATGAAGAATAAAGCAGGTCTCACCATTTAAGGTTTTTATTTCAGGCTATCTACTCAAGCAGGTGACAGATTATCAGTTTATACACACTTAATGTTTTGTAGTTATCTGCCATAAGGGCTACAATGTGTGTCTAATATTCCCCGCAGTGCAGCTATCTTGTCCCTGAACCCATGTGCTGCTTCTGGGGCTACTAACACTCTTGGGAGTCCTAGCTGGGTGTGTCTCATCACCTTCTACATCCATTTCACTTCCTTGTTTGTGCATCTAAATTTATAGCTGCCCCCTTCCTGATTGTATCTAGGCAGAAAGTGCTCTTTGTTCCCTCTTTTTACAACCCAATCATTCAGCATAACCATTGTGTAATGGTCAATCTCTGCTCCTGAGTAAATTGCCCAAGTATTCTAACAAGTGCATTTTCAAGGAGTTTTTCTTCTTATTGGTGATAAACTTGATAACCTTTTTTAAAAAATTGAATACTTAAAAATGCAAAATTTAATGCTTATAAAACAATGTAATGCAAAATGGCTTGTGAAAGAGATGAAGCTCTGAAACATTAAAGCCTAATATCATTGTCAATGGTGTTTCATAACTTCAATTTCTTGTGCCAGTAACTTACAAAATGCATTTCTAACCTAATTCTTTTCCCTGTGGGGGGCATGAAATTGTTACTACTCAGTTGAAACTTTTAAAAGTTTATATTTTTATATTTTAGGGCTGAATCAAGGGGAAAGGAAATAATTACAGTTGACCATGATGTATCTCCAGCTATAGTTTCCTTGCCAACTGCTCTAAAAAATAGAGCAGAGAAAGAAAATCTTGTGAATGAAGAAGCAATTAAAAAAATTTCTGCACTTGAAAATGAGTTAACCCTTCTTCGTGCCCAGATTGCTGCTATTGTTGCAGTGCAAGGTTCAAGAAATAGTAATCAATCAGGTACACTTGTTTTTGTTTATGCTACGGTCTTAAAACTTTGAGCTTTCCTTTGTTTTATGCCCATAGTACTTATCCCGTGATTTACTTTTTATCTAAATTTCTGTGAATTAAGTGAAAAGTATTTTGAATGCAGGATTGTTTTTGTCTGTCTCTATTTCTTATATTCATAAATTAATTTTTTTCACTCTCCTCACTTTGTGGACAGTTCATCACCTTCAAGTTGGAGTTTATTTAAATCATCTTTTTTTTTCTGGTGAAGCCCACAAGAGTACGTGTATCATTCTGCACTGTCACCTGGGAGAGTGCCTGGGCCACCATTTTGATAGCTTCACCCTTTGTATTATAAGGGTGAGCAAGGAGCAACCCTATATTTAGCCTGCCTAGCACTCTGCATTATAGAAGATTCTTCTGACCTTTTTTGTTCTAACATCTAAATTGTTTGTAGCAAGTCTTTATAATGTGACAGGGGAAAGGCCCTTGGGCCAGAGGGTTTTTCTTGGTCTTGTTGAATTCTGTATAGGTTTAGCTGAGTTATAAACTGTTAATTACCATTTCCCTTGTACTTAGTAAAATTTTAGGTGTGCTGCCAAAATAACTGAAACATTCTAAAGAGCTGGAGCCATGTCTCAACAGCAACATGTTCTGTACTGGGTATGCCTGGGAGCTACTGTATCAATGAGAATTGTGCAGGTGGAAGGAGAGACCGGTTGGGGCTTGTTTGTCTGCATTATGATATTCTTTTTAATTACATGGCCACATATGGCTTTTCCCCAACAGGACCCATGCCTTGTTCAGTGCACAGGCAAGGGGGGGAGGTTTAGCTCAATGGTTTGCACATTGGCCTGCTAAACCCAGGGTTGTGAGTTCAGTCCTTCAGGGGGCCACTTAGGGATCTGGGGCAAAATCACTACTTGGTCCTGCTAGTGAAGGCAGGGGGCTGGACTTGACGACCTTCCAAGGTCCCTTCCAGTTCTAGGAGATAGGATATCTCCATTTATTTATTATTTATTTATTACAAATGGACAGAATTAAGGTTGCATAGACATCTTAAATCTGGCATTTCCTAAGTTTTGAGTGCTTGATTTGAAACCTAAATAACTTTCGCTTAACAGTTTTGTTTTTTCTTTCCTTTTTATGTAATTATTTCTGGTAGCACCATGTTGTGCTAGGTGTTTGACGTTTTAAGAAAAAATAGTCCTTCCCAGATTAGGATCTTGCAATATAGCTCAGACACCTTGGACTTGGCTTGATCTTCTCAAACTTTCAAATATTAGTAATGCGTTCTCTTAATTAAAAAATAACTTATTTTCTTTGATAGGTTCAGATGTCTTGAATTCATTTGGCATTCCAAGTGGTTCTTTCCCAGTGCCAGCAATGACTTCTACTCCATTGTCCACCGCACCAGATCACTTTGTAATTCCTCCACCTCCCCCACTTCCCTCCATAGCACCATCTGGCTTTGAAGCCAGTAATTCAGCAATTGAACTTATTAAACAACGTCGTGCTGCAAGTAAGACCAGCTCAACAACTGTTGACAAAACTGAACACCAGAAGACCCAGGGTGTTCTTAGTATGATGGATGTTTTGAAGGATATAAACAAAATCCGACTGCGAACTATTGAGAAGTAAGTTGATTTTAAATGTAAACCAAAAATATGCGAACACCACAGTATTTAGGGAGCAGCAGATAACGCTGGGGTGAAAACCTGTTTAATGGACAGGTGCTCCTGACAACTGTCTGAGATGATAGAATCATAGGACTGAAAGGGTCCTCGAGAGGTCTTTGAGTTCCCTGCACTCAAGGCAGGCTAAGTATTATCTGACTGTCCCTGACAGGTGTTTGTCTAACCTACTTTTAAAAATCTCCAATGACAGATTCCACAACCTTCCTAGACAATTTATTCCAGTGCTTAACTACCCTGACGGGAAGTTTTTCCTAATGTACAATGTAACCTGCCCTTGCTGCAATTTAAGCCTATTGCTTCTTATCCTATCCTCAGAGATTAAGGAGAACAATTTTTCTCTCTCCTCCTTCCAACAACATTTATGTACTTGAAAACTGTTATCCTATTCCCTTTCTGTCTTCTCTTCTCCAGACTAACGAAACCCATTTTTTTTCCAATCTTCCCTCATAAGTCATGTTTTCCATTTTTGTTGCTCTTCTCTGGTTTCTCCAATTTGTCCACATCTTTCCTGAAATGTGGTGCCCAGAACAGCACACACTACTCCAGTGGAGGCCTAATCAGCACGGAGTAGAGCGGCAGAATTACTTTTTTGTCTTGCTTACAGCACTCCTGCTAATATATCCCAGAATGTTGGTGGTTTTTTTTTTTTTTTTTTTTGTCAACGGTGTTGCATTGTTGACTCATATTTAGTTCGTGATTCATTCTGACCCCAGATCCCTTTCTGTAGTACTCCTCCTTAGGCAGTCATTTCCCATTTTGTAGATATGCAACTGATTGTTCCTTCCTTAGTGGAGTACTTTGCATTTGTCCTTATTGAATTTCATCCTGTTTACTTCAGACCATTTCTTTAGTTTGTCCAGATCATTTTGAATTTTAATCCTATCCTCCAAAGCACTTGCATCCACTCCCAGCTTGGTATCGTCTGCAAACTTTAAGTGCACTCTCTGTGCCTTTATCTAAATCATTAATGAAGATATTGAACCGGACCCAGAACTGATCCCTGTGGGACCCCACTTCATATACCCTTCCAACTTGACTGAACCAGTGAAAACTACTCACTGGGAACAGTTTTCCAACCAATTATGCCCTCACCTTGTAGTAGCTCCATCTAGATTGTATTTCCCTAGTTTGAGAAGGCCATGCAAGACAGTATCAAAAGCCTTATTAAAGTCAAGGTATACCACATCTACTGCTTCTCCCCTATCCACAAGGCTTGTTAGGTATGTAGTTTGTCATTTAACACTTTCCTAAGGGTACATCTACACAGCAAAACTCTCCCCCCCTCCCCCCCGGGCAGTGAGTCTCAGACCCAGTGTCAATTGATTCAGGCTTGCACTATGGAGCCAAAAATAGCAGTGTAGATATTCCTGCTCAGGCTCTGAGACCCTCCTTCCTTGCCGTGTCTCGGCCTGGGCTCCAGCCTGAGTGGGAATGTCTACTCTGCTATTTATAGCTCTGTAGCACAAGCCCCACGAGCCTGGGCTCTGACACTCACTGCCACTGCTTTGGGGTTTTTTTGTCCTGTAGATGTACCCTGAGAGATTTTGAGCAGGCAGTTTTTCCCTTAGAGTGCTGCATCTTCACTGCCTAGAGTATCAAGTGAAAATATATTACATACAAAAGCAAAGCATTGTCTAATTTAAAACTGTAATCTCCTGCATAGGTCGGTCAATCTTTTGTCTCCTGTTTGTTTTTTTTGTGATTGGGGCTATTTGGAGTTCACTTACAAAATCAGCTAAACGTGCAGGAAAACAGATCTGAACAAACAAACTTTTGAGTTCATTGTAAAAGGACAACTCCTTGGGGAAATATTGGGAAACTAACAGTACATCCAAAATACATTAATTCTAACTTTGAAGTCTTCAAACATGTATAATGCACGTGTCTATTTTAACTGAAGATTTTACTGAACCTAGACCCAAGTCCTTTAGTTTGGTCAAATAATTTTTAATTTTTACATGGTTTTGGTCAAAATGCGAAACTTATGTGATTACAAAACATATGATTATTAAATATTTGTGTGACTGATATCCTGTGTTCAGAGCCAAACTGCTCTTTTAGATGCGATACACAGGAAACTAAATGAACACATTTACTGAACTGGAATAAAAGTATACTCTAAGGAAGTAGGATAATGTCTGTTTAGAGATCACTATTGAGGAAAAAAATGTAGTATATATAAGAACAGAGGGTGAAATCCTGGCCCAAGTCAATGAGTGTTGTCAATTGGGCCAGGATTTCACCGAGCATATTGTACCAAGTGTTTATTAAAAGGCCCTTTTTAAAAAATTTCATATCTGGAAATAACTGGCACAAATAATTGTGGGTAGATTTTCTAGTATAGCAGATTTTAATAAGGCTTTACGTGCCTTCAGCATGTGATTTCACCACATAAGTACTAGGGGCCAGTTTCACAAAAGTGCTTAGGCTCCTAAAGAGGCAGTTAGAAGCCTATGCCCAACATTTCACCACCACTAACATTCTCAAAACTACTGCTCAGTTGCTGCCTAACCCTGTATGCACCTAAATCCCTTAAGGACCTAAGTTTCTGTTGGTAGGTGTGCTCGAACTGCCTAAGCCCTGACACTGCCCTGCATCAACTGAGCTTCTGGGAGCACTCTTGCACACCTAACCCCAGCGGGATTTTCGCATTAGGTGTTCCTCCTCCCCCCCCCCCCCTCCATCTATCTCACTTGAAGGGCCTGATCTGGTCCACACAAAAGGCAGCTGGGGCAAGCAGATCAGGAATTTTTGTGGCTGGCTGACTGATTCAGAATACCCAGTGGTTCAGGCACTCACCTGGGATGTCACAGACCTGGATTCAAGTCCCTGGTCCAAATCCGGCAGAGTGGGGATTTGAACTTGGGTTTCCAGTATACGAGGTGAGTTCCCTCACTACTGACCTTTTTGGCTGTGTGTGTGGGTAGGGGGAATCTCTTTGATATTTCACAGGAAAGAGTCGACCTCATTCAAGAGCCTAACTCCGAGAGAGGGTTCACGACTGAGAATCCCAAGCGGAGATTGGTGACTTCCTTTGGCCAGTCACTCTGGCACGTGAGGCCCAGATCAACGAGGGTTAGACTCCTAATTCCCTTTGTGCATCTGGGCCCAAAGCCCCATTACTTTCCTTGGCATTTCACTCCTGGCTAGCTTAGGCATCTCCCTGCTCAGCTTGCTGGCTTCTGAGAATCCCTTTCTTACTATCTAACTCATCTATACAATGCGTGGGGAGCCTAGGTGCCTAACTTGAGGCTGTAAATTCCACTGGGTGGCAGGTTGCCTAGAAGTTAGTCATTGCAATGTCTAAAGTCCCTTTCTAGTTCCAAATGCTACAAATTAAACTTTCAATTCCATTTGCAAACCTACAAACTGTAGCCACAATCTTTGAGCACGAACTTGTGGGCAGAGCTGAGGTTCTCTGAAAAATCAGGGCTGATTTACTCAGTGCTTTGGATTCATAAATTATACATGACTGGCTTTCAAATAGATATTTTAATAGTATTTCTAACTTCACGTTTGGAAGTTTAGATACACACTTGAGAACAAAACCAACCACTGATGCATCTATGCCAATTTAGCATCCAGTTGCTGGTTGTGGATATTTTGTTGAAGTGTCCTTGTTTGCAAATGGGCCCTTGTGTGGCTGACTGGATGAACATGTATATTTGCAAGTTTAATTTTTAACTGACGTCTTGCATCAGACCATATTACTTTATTATTGTAAAGTCTTTTGAGAAACTTTAGAGCTTTTTGTTGATCTTTATAAAAACTCATGAAGATCCAGTGTTTTAACTGAAAACAAATAGGGACGGTGGAGTACTTTACGAGCATTAAATTAACTTTTTCCCCGATTCATAGATTCTAAGGCCAGAAGGGATCATTGTGACAGATCATAATTGATACAGCAGTATCTGGCAGTACAATGGAGACCTCTTTTTAAAATTGTATTTTTATAGGCCTGCCACAATATTCTAAGACCTGAATAAGGAAATAATATCAGAGGTATTATGAACAACTTAAGTATTTGCTGTGACTGTAGGCAGGGGATTTTTCTCAGTATTGTTGCATTTACTTTTATTCATGTTTGGCCATGGTAAGCCATTTCAGAATACAGTAAGCTATATTACTTGCTAAGTTATGTTTCTATAACCTGAATGGTCTGTGAAGCTGGTCTAAGGTGTAGAGCACACTGGGATAATGTAATTACTCTCCAGGATCAGCATTAAGTTTTCATGGACTGGACACAGTTTGTCTTTGTTCTTTGTAGGTCACCTGGCGGTACACCTCTTCCTAAGACAAGAAAAAGGCGGAGTTCACAGTGGGATCCAGCAGCTCTAATAGCTCAGGCTCTAAAGCAGAAATTTGCACATCAAAATGGCAATGATTCATTGGACAAAGAAAACAGATCTTGTAACACCTCCCCGTTTTCCAGTCCAGAAGCCCCTCTGGTAAGCTCTTATTTACTCTCTCACTCCCCAAAAAAACAAACAAAAATCCCTCATCGTGCTTTCCATCGCTTACACTATCAGGGAATGTTGGTGGTCTCGAGACTCTGGAATCATGGAAAACCAGTGAGTGAGTGGCATGGCTAGTCAGTGGAATTAACTGTCATGTAACACTGAAGAGAAGAGAGTGGAACTGTGAACAGATAGGGGCTTAGTTTGTTAAAATCTGCCCATTTTCCACAAATTTTAAGAACATCTGATAATGTGACTAGAGGAAAGCTTGACTAGTTCTTATTTTTTCAGTCCTCAGTGTCAATTTCACCAAGTGCCTGTTTTTTATTCTTAGTTTAAAAGTGAAAGCTGAAATCAATACTGTGAAAGCTGGTTGGTTACCAAACATGTAAATGTGTGACTCAAAATACCTATCATCAAAGGGAGTGGTAGAAATCAAGTGACTAACTTGACTGAAGTAATGAAAACAGAATTCCTTCTAAAGTTTAAATATACTCAATGTCAAGTGGCAAGATAGAGAAGACTCATGTTTTGATTAAAAAATGCAGATAAACTTTTTCTGTGAGATCTTCGGATGGTTTTATTCAGTGGCACTGTTGCTCTTGAAGAAGAAGAGTAGATTACATCAGTGTGATCATGCAAGTGAGACGTTAACAGTGGTATTATAATTGAACATAGCAGCAATGATAATTTGATTACTTCACAGCTTTCCAGCATCTGCTTCATTCAAGAGTAATTTCTATTAATCTTTAACACCCCCAAAAAAGGCAAAGATCAACTAGTGATTACCTTTAAGTTGTTTATGGCAAAGTCTAGAACTTGATAAGAAAGTTGCAGCTGCCTTATGCTATCAGAATTATCTTCTATCTAGCACAAAAGGAACACTTGATATAACCAATTGAAGTTCTTTGCCTTGAATGTACTCTTTTGGACTGATTTAAGTTTATATGTATGCTACTAGATGCTCCAAGTGAGAGAGAGAGAGAGAGAGAGAGAATACGAGGGCTAACAGAATCAACACTTCTATTAAAACAAGATGATTGATCAAACATGAGAATTGACCTGATAATAACTACAAGCATGCATGTATTGAAAAAGTGTTCCTCATTAGCATTACTGATTTTTCGTCTTTAAAAACCAAGAATGCAGAGAGATGTCTGACAAACCTATGTCATTTGTTCAAAAAATAAAAATACAGTGATAGATTAGAGAATCCTGGCCCGGGGGGGAGGGGAGAGACACACGCACGCACCTCCATGCTGGGTAAAGGGGCTACAGTGGTGTAAAAAATCATCATTCCCCTGCTGCAGGAACTGTGGAAGATGGCCATAAGCCGTACCGTAGGACCCTTGGTAAGTACTGGCAATAGGAGCTGTGCTGTAGGTAGGAGGGCTGCATTGGGGGTAGTGCTGCACAGATTCTGAGCAGTATTTCTGCCCATAAAGCAGCCTATAGAGGCTAACATAACTTAGCCAAGCCCGTAGAGGGCTTTGTGTTATGTCAGGACCTGTCTAGCCACTGGAGTAGCTAGGATTAGGAGGGCACAAAAGTGTTTTAATGCCAGTATAGTGCCTCCACCACCTACTGCCCTCTTTCTCTTGGCCTGCAAATTCTGTGTAGTGCCTGTTAGAGGTGCATTATAGAATCTCACCTTTGATGTATTGGTGTTCAGCAACCTTATTTTAAATCTCATTTTGAAAAATATCTAACACAGTTCCAAAGTATGTTGTGGAACATCAGAAATTCTGTTGCAGCCATCATCATATTCATCGTTGGTTGACTGAAGAAAGGGTTGATGTTCCACTTTTCCAGTGAAGCTAAGAATTCTCAGGAAGACTGTCTATATTTATGTCTTCTAACATAAGTGTGTTTTTGAAATTTGCACGGAATATGAGGAAAATTTAATATCAAAATAGTCTGCATTTTACACAACTGTACAACTAAGTGTTACATTTATAAACACAATTGAACAAGATTAGAGATGTGATGGTTGCAGTCTCAATACAAATAAAAACTGGAACTACACAGACAAAATCTGCATTATATTTCTGAGATACTACGGATCCCTTCCATTAAGTCAGTGGTTCTCAAATTTTAGTACTGGTGACCCCTTTCACATAGCAAGCCACTGAGTGTGACCCCCTTTATAAATTCAAAACACTTTTTAAAATCTATTTAACACCATTATAAATGTTGGAGGCAAAGCGGGGTTTAGGGTGGAGGCTGACAGCTCACGACCCCCCATGTAATAACCTCATGACCCCCTCAAGGGTCCCGACCCCCAGTTTGAGAACCCTTGCATTAAGTAATCAAAATGATTGATCCCAAATACAAAAGTCACAGAACTGGTTGATCCCAGAAAAGGTTGTGTCAGATTGTTGGAAAACTGAAAGTAAGTTAATGGAAGACGACTGAACTCAATTTGTCAACTTTTAAGACCTGTTGTCCAACCAGCTTGTCCATCAACTGCTTGTGTGTGAGGGGGCACACATCTGCACTGCTCTATTCAAAAATTTTTTGCTGCTAAAAAAGGAAATGAGTTTATCTATTTCTAAGGTCAGATACAAAAGCAATGGTAGGCCTTTTTATTTAGACTGGGGACTTCAAGCTTTTTGTTTTTAACAATGTGAATGTTCTCTTGTGTTTTGGGTAAATACTTACACATATGAAAGGGTTTGTTCATGTACGTAGTTTTAACTTCACAAAACGTTTATGGGTTTCATTTTTCCCAGGCTGGGGGAAACTCCAACAGCCCTTCCAGCCTGCAGTATCTTTGTTGAAAATTTTATTCTTTCCCTGTTGAGTATTCTTAGACATTTTATAGAATTAAAATTATTATTATTTTTTTTTATTATTAGGTTGGACGTCACATTTTGAAGCCAAATTCAAAGAACAACCTCATAAAAGCTGAGGAAGTAACACAGGTATCAACAGCAAAAGCAAGGGTACATATTTAACTGGTGGCGCTGTGTGGAAAAACCCAACAACTGGCATGCTTATGAGTGGCAGGACCATTTCAGGAACAATTTCATAAAATGTGTACACTGGGATGTGTACACTCCCATGCTGCAGGAGCTATGGTTTATAAAACTACCTCTTTTGATTTGAGTGTCCCAACAGCCAAGCTTGTCAGTGTGTTGTCTGCTTATAAAAAAAATACTTTAATGGCATTTATTACTTTATAGCTGCAGACCAGAATGTTTGAAGATAACTTTTTAGATACTCTGAATGGGAAGCAGATCATATAAAAAAGACTGGATGTTTCTCAGTGTGGAGGCTGAAGTATACATGGGAGTGTGGAAACAAAATATTAATAGCTCAGGAAATTAAGTTTTAAGTGAAGCAGGTATGTTACTATGTAATCAATATTAATATTGTCCCTCATCAAGAGGGTAGCAGGTCTCCCTGAGCTTCATCATAGCTTCCTAAAGCAACTCAGCATTCCATGTGCAAACAATCTCTTAACTTATTCTGGATCAGCAGAGAAGTCCTGCTTACTATGAGTGATGGTACTTGCCTTGTTTTAATTAAGTCAGATATGAACTGTGTTAACTGCCTGCAATGACAAAAAGTAGTTGTTGTTCTGTAGCAAAAAAGGCTCTGGAGAGACTTCTGCTTGCACAAGCTTAGTATAAATTCATTATGTAAATAAACATTCATTGACTATGGTGTTTTTCCCTTTTTTGCTTCCGTATTTTAGGTCAACATTTTGTTGTTTTGTACATAGTTTATAAAATAAATTTCCCTTTTATGTCACTGAAGGTGTTGTCCTATACATCATTTGCAAATTCATTGTTCTGAGTTGTTTTTTTTTATTTCTTGTGTTGTCACAGTTTTTAAAAGATTTGGTCAACTTTTTTATTAAATCAAGCATGCCCTCTAATAGACAATGAAAAGAGGAAAAGTAGATCTAAAATATAATCTCTCTCCTCTACCAGAACATTGGGGGAGGGAACCTATTAGTCATAAATTATAAATACCAAGCATACCTTATTGAAAGTGGGAGAAGTTCTTCAAGTTTTTTGTTTGCAGATATGCCAGTGCCAGTCTTCAGTGCCCAAGTGGACTTAGTTCCACCTGAAGCTGGGTGAAGCACAGAAACTGCCTCACTAGCCTGTGTAGGGTGAGCAGACCTCTGGTTCATGGTTAGAAGAGGCAGGAGGCCTGTAAATCTTACATTTCAGATCCTGAACGAAAACAAAGCTTGGAGTTCTTCACTGCAAACTCAACCTGCCAGTGCTGCAGTGCCCAAGGGTGTGACTCTGAGCTCAAGAAGAACTCTCAAATGCTTTCAGAGCAGACAGGGACCCTTGTTGTCTGGGAAGTGAGAGACATGGACTCTGTAGCACCGCTCACTAAATCCAGTGACTGGAGGCACAAGAGCTTCCTCAAAAGAATCAATGAAGCCATGCAGAAAAACTTGATGCCAGAGCCTTCAGTGCCACATTGACCTAGAGAACAGATAGATGAGCATACTATGTCCATGGGAAAGAAATTACCAGCACCATCTACCTCTACACCAGTACACCAATCAGTCTGCCCCAGTCCTATATTTGTTGAAACCTTGTGATTGAAACATCTCTCCTGGCAGTGGCTATTAAGTAGCAGAAGCTACAGATCCGTCAGCACAGATGTCCTTTGATTAGTATTTTACAGCTCCAAAAGGCTCGTTTGTATCCTCCCTGAAACTCAGAAGCCTGAGTTTCCATTATTAGAGACTTCTAGTTCTGTACTATCAAAATCTCTTCCTCAAAAAGTATCTAATACCTATAATGAAAATTCTCTTCATCAACATGACAGTGGGCCGGAGTATAGAAGCCATACTCTAGTTTTAAAGTCTTCAATTATTACCTCATCAATGGAGGGGTTTCAGTCTTCTGACTCTGACTCTTCTTCAAATTCCATCCCACTACCTAAGAGGAGAGCAAATCAGAAAAAATCAGTGCACAAGAACCTCATTCTATTTGGTACACAAATTAGGTGTGTATGTCTTACCCATTTGTTCTGAAGCTTAGTCATGGTCTCAATACCCATAGTTTTCAGGACAAGTTCACCCACAGTTTATGGGGAATCCTTGTAGATCACCAACTCTTAGTTCTCAGATGTCTCATCATTCTCCTGTTTGGGTTATGGCAACAACGAACATCAGATCTCTAGTGACAAGGAGGCACCACTTCATCAAGAAGATTAATCTAGATCCCCACATTGTTCTTAGCTCTCACCTGCTGAGGCTGTGTCATCTACTATACCTGTGAGAATGCACAATTTTAAAGTCTTTGAAGAACTGTTGAAGCCCATGGCACAAATGCTGGAAGTCCCATTGGAAATGGTACAGGAGAAGGCATATAAGCTTTCATATTTTTATAATCGGCATCTCAAGATAATCGCTTTATCTATAAATAAGTGTACTTTAGATTTGGCAAAGGATCTTTGGGCTTACTCCTGCCTTGGTTTTAGCTATTTCAAAATGTGCAGGTTGTAAATGACAGATACCGTCCAAAGATTGAGTATTTTTATACTCATCTGATTCTATTCACTTGTTGTTGCTGCAAATGAAAAATCAAGACTAATAGAAAAGTCAACTCTCAAAGAGACTAGACATCTTTGGGAGAAAAATGTATTTATTCGTCAGCCTAATTATGAAGCATGCTATCTAAATAAGATTACCTTCAGTGGGGCAGATTGTCTAGCTTTAGGAACAAGTTACCTTTGATCTAAATTAATCTTTACATTCTAATCTGTGAAGCTCTGTTAATTGCTAAAACCTCACTTCAGGCTGCACTGAATGCAGCTGATATAGGTGTCCATTCAATGGCTATAGCTGTTATGATGAGACCTGCATCAGGGTTGCCTAAGAACTACAGACAACCATTGAGGTTTCATCATTTGATGGGCAGAATTTATTTAGCGCTAAAATGGATGAGTCTCTTCATTCTTGAAAGACTCAAGATTTACTTGCAGATTACCAGGGTGTTATATCCCAGCTTTAAAAGGAAGCAATCTTGCCCTCATTCTTCTTCCTTGAAATATAGGAATACTACACCTTCATATTTTCATCAGAGGTCTTCTGATCAAGCCAGGACTAGATTGAGTTACCAAAAGAAGAGATCAGCTCAATAATCCTTTTTGATAACCTTGCAATCAGGACAGACATGGCCATCAGCTCTGATAAAGGATCTTGGACTAATCTAGAAGGATCTATACCCTTTCGTCCTTCTCTCTGGTTCCTATCTATTATTTTTCCAGGAGGCTTGGATGGCAATCGGCACAGATCAATGCGTGCTTCAAATAATCAAGGATGATTATGCTTTCCAGTTTAACTGTCCCTTCCATCCTTACCCCTTGCTGATCCCTCTTCAGGGACCATTTTCACGAGAGTGCTATGTGTCAAGAGATAATGACCTAATCAATATAGGAGCAATAGAATCTCAAGAATTTATAGGAAAGGGCTTCTTATTCCCTTTGTTTCCTCATATTGAAGAAGAAAATGAGGTTGGTGTCCAATCCTAGATCTCAGGCTTCTAAACAAATACGTGCTGCATGCCAAATTTCATATGACAGGTTTCAGAGTAGCAGCCGTGTTAGTCTGTATCCGCAAAAAGAACAGGAGTACTTGTGGCACCTTAGAGACTAACAAATTTATTAGAGCATAAGCTTTCGTGGACTACAGCCCACTTCTTCGGATGCATATAGAGTGGAATAAATATTGAGGAGATATATGTATATATATATATATCTCCTCAATATTTATTCCACTCTATATGCATCCGAAGAAGTGGGCTGTAGTCCACGAAAGCTTATGCTCTAATAAATTTGTTAGTCTCTAAATTTCATATGGTAACTCTTACTTAGATTATTCCTGGTCTAGATCCCATGGATTGGTTCATTACCCTCAGTTTACAGGACACTTATTTTCATGTGTTGATTCATACCACACACAAGAAATACCTTTGATTAGTAGCTTTACGTAACTGTTACCAGTTCAGAGTACTTCCCTTTGGAATTTCATCAGCCCCAACGGTATTTACCAAATGCCTATCCGTAGTAGCAGCTCATCTCAACAAACAGGATTTACACATTTACCCTTATCTAGATGATTGGGCTATACAGGGAAAATCATGGGAACAGGTGTCCATGGTAGTAAGGAAAGTTTTCCATGCCTAGGTTTGAGGATTCATTTGAAAAAAAGGCAAAGCTGGTTCTGTCCCAATTGGCAGAAATTTGGGGGCTGTATTAGACTCATTAGCAGCAAGAATTTTTTTCTCTTTGGATAGATTTGAAATAGGACAGCTAATACTCCATCTTCATGAATGCCCCCAAGCATCTATCAAGATGTCTCAAATTTTTAGGCCATAGAGTGCCGTGTATTTTTGTGATTCCATTCACTAGACTACACCTCAGACCTTTTTAAAGTTGAAGCAGATTGTTCTACAAACCAAAAATTCATGCCATTGAGTGACAGTTCAGAATCAGATTCTGTCCTCTGTAGAATGATTGAGAAAATTTATTTGCAACAATTCTGTTTGCTTCTCTGATACGGCCGAGAACTCTAACAGATGCACCCAAGAAGGATTGGGAAGCGCATATAGATCATGTTCAGACACATGGCCTCTTGTGCAATCAGGAATCCATTACACATAAATGTGTTGGTATTAAAATTGTACGACTAGCTTGCAAGGCATTTCTACCACTGATCAAACTACCTGGACTTCAACTCATACATTCATGGAACGTTATTAAGTGACTGCTTCCAGATCTGATGCCAATTTCAGAAGTACAGTGGTACAGTCTCTTTTCAAATAACTCCTAGTTCCCACCTCCATGGAAAATAATTGCAGGCTAATCATCCTGAATGGGATCCGCATGTGCAGTACTCAAAGAACGGTTACTTATCTTACAGTAACTGTTACTTTGAGATGTCTGCATCTATGGATCCCGTGACTTGTTCTCCTTCCCCACAGCTTGGAGTCTTATGAATTCTGGATGGTGAAAGAACTAAGTGACAGTTGGGGTTGCTGTGCTTTTAAGCCATCTGGAGAAGAGGACTATGAGGACATGAGCAAATGCATGACTCCCACTGGACAGTACTAGTGGAAAATTTTCCATATTACTGCACTGGTGCACCACACACCATGGGTAGGACACACATGTGCAGACATCTCAAAGTTACTGTAAGGTAAGTGTGACACTCTGTACCACATGTTCACCACTTTTTATATGCTTATAGTTTGTACCTTGTGAGGTATCATTTGAAAACTCAGAATCTGCTGAATGTTATCCTGGTGAAATGGGTGTTTCAACATTATCTGTGAAGTTATGAGTTTCTACTGTATGATTATTACTGAAATGTGTTGTAATTCTAAGTAACACCCACAAACCTGTTTTTAGAGACGGACACACTGGAAACCCTGGATAGGTATCAACCGTCAAGTGGGCTATTACTTACTTAAGCAGCCATTCTTCAGTAACGGGGAGGTGTAAACAAGAAATTTACATTTTATCCCAGATATGGTTTGAATCTCACATACACGAGAATGTCTACACCCCAGCAGGGTGGGGTGGGGGGTGTAATCCTCAAAGAGAGGAGGGTATAAAAATGACAGTGACCTCCACAGGACCCCTCCCCTCCTTCCACCTCTTTGCTCAAGACAATGACTATCAAAGAACTGAACAAAGGGAGGAGTGGTTCCAAGTTGGACACAGTCTGTGAACTGTATGGCAGCTTATGCTGGGACAAACCTTTTGCTTTTAAGCCTATTAG